TCTTTGTAAAAACTTCAATTGAATTTCAATAAAGTTAAAGGCATGGCCTTATCATTAATATTTAAAAAAAAAAAAAATAAGCCAATTATATTTTTGGTTCATATAATAGTATTTATTTATAATTTTGGCTAATGCTTACAAATGTTTATTATTAATTATCCTTCATATTATTTACCTAATAGCCTAGTCACAAATTGTAAAAGGAAATGTCAGATTTTTGCATTTGAACTAAAAAATATTTTTGCTTATTATTTTAAAAACATTAACAAAAACAATTAAACCATGGATCTTATTTAAATATGGGCATTTATGTGGTATTATGCATATAGATTAATATTTCATGCAGTTTCATGCACATTTTATATAGGTTTTTGCACATAAATTCACATGAATCATTAGTTCATATACATGATATCACATAAATGCCAATTTCTATTCTTACTCTTTTAATAATTTTACTTTTTTCATTCTCAGGTATTCATTGAAACTTAGACGCATTCTTGTCATATTTAGCCATTATTATTAAACAAAGTGACTTTTAAAATAACAATATTAAATCAATTAATTGATAAATAAAAAGTTGTATAATAACACTATTATCTGATAACTATTATATATAGGCTTGTTAATCTTGAGAAATTTTGGTATATTGATGTATATTGTCTTACTTGGTTTTTTAATTGGTACTGCTTTTAAATTGAGAAAACAATTATTTAGTAATTATATAATAGTAAAATTATTCAAATTATCAAATATGTACAATAGAATCCTTGTTGCTACTCTTTGTTTTTGAACTAGAAGTATCTTTTTTGTAATTTTTCAATTTAATTTTGATTTTTTTTTCTTTTTTGTTTCTTCAATGCATCATTATTAGTATCATCTAAGATGAGTTTAATTTTTTGATTATTAACTACACTGTAAGCTGTTTAAAATTTTTTCAAAGTTTTTAATCTTTTAATTAAGACTAACATTTTATTTGTTTTTGAAAAAGGTTTATTTTCATTATCTGAACTTTGTTCACTTCTATTTGTTTTCAATTTTGAAATAGACCAAGTTACTTCTTTTTGATTACTTGCATTTAGACTTCGACTAATTGCAAATGCTCTTTTTTTCTTATTGAAAACTATTATTGCAGAAAAACACAATAGTTACAATCTATATAGTAATAAGTTTTTTTTTATTTTAAGTGTATTTAATTTTACATTTACTTTTTATTACTAATAGTATATTCTTGGAAAGATATCTCTACCAAACTGACTTGAATAATAGTTAACCAAGTTTTAATAAGAAAAGTTTATTCTTCAAACAAAACTCATTGAATTAAAAAAGGCTTTATTTCAAACAAGCAAGAACTAAAGAGAGTTCAACTGGAACAAATGAGGTAAAATTGCCACTAGTTATTTAATAGCAAAAGAAGATATTTATTTTATTACTGATTATGATTTTCTTTTCAATTTTATTCAATTTTTGACAATTATCTCTATGACAAAATTTCTATAACATATTTTAACTATACATATTTTATATGAGTGCTTTCAAAAGAAAATAACTTTTTGGACTTTAAATTACATTTTGACTAGACATAATTCTTAATAAATTATATAGTTTGTGTCTAGTTAAAATGTAATTTAAAGTTCTGAAAGAACATTTTCCTTTGGTACTTATTGATAAATATGGTAATAAAATTATGCATGTATATTAAAATAGACTCTGCATGCATAAACTCTAATTTACTAGTTAAATTAGATAAGTCAATGCAGAGTTTATTTTAACATTTATATATTAAGTAATCAATTAATAAGAATTTTTAAAGTTAAAATTAAATAAAAAAAATAAGAAAATTGTAGGCAGTAAATTTCTTTTCTAATTCAAAAATAGCAATAAAACAATAAGTATAAATGTACTTTTGCTAATAATAAATATTGGTTAAAGTTGATCAAAGGTGTTATTAAGTAAGTTAGATTATATAAAATTATTACTATAATAGCTATTATTTATTTTAAATCTATAATGAACAGGGCATTTGAGACTTGTGCATCTATGTGTGATTCTGTTCATAATACAAACCTAGTAGCAAACTCTTAAACTAAATATATAGTATCAAAACAATTTTTTTTTTAAGCAATCAAATAAGTATTTATATTATATAGCTTATATATATTATATATTTAAATTTATCAGTATATTTTATTAATTTTTGCAATAGAATTTTATTTAAAGAAACAATGCCTAAAATCTTAATTTTGTGTATTTGCAATGTTTGCTCATTAAGTAAAGATGGCAGCTTTTGGAAACTAAAAAATACTAGAACTCAGCATCAGAGACATGATAGGTAAAATATGCAAACCTCTAATAATGATTTAGAATTACAAAATAATATTCAAAATCAAGCATATAGTTTTTACTAAAAAACATTTGAGCCTGAACTTTATAATCTAAAAAATAATAGTGAATTTGAGGAAGAGTCAAAAAATAATAATAGATTAGAAAATGTCAATAAACTTGAGAATGAGTTTGAATGGCTAATAAATTTGAAAATAAAGTTAAAAATGGGTTGGACTTAATAATGAATTTGAAGGTATTGATAAATTTGAAAATAGGTTGAACTATAATAATGAGTTCAAAGGTATTGATAAATTTGAAAATAGGTTAGACTGCAATAATAATTCAAAAATATTAATGAATTTGAGAATAGGATGGAATGTGATGAATTTGAAGGTATTAATAAATCTAAAAATGGTTTAGAAATTGATAAATTTGAGGATTGGTCAAAAAGTAATAGTAGCAACTCAAGTATAGCTAGTTCAATTTTAATAGATAATAAAGGTAATTATACTTATTCTGTTATAAAAAAAGGTTATGAATTTGTATTTTTCTTTTTTTTGTTTTTAAGCACATTATTTTTCTATTAAATTTTAGAGAATATTTCTTTTATATTCTTTGAAATTATCATAGTAATTTGACTTTTTAAGATTAAAGCACAGAATAACCTTACTGATAAAGCCTTAGTGAAATTATGAAAGCCACAATAACAAAACTGATGAGCTTATATATAATCAAAAAAAAATTATTATTATTAGTTTTGTTTAAATCTATGTAGATAGACATGTGCATTAATACTTATTGTGCTTATATTGGTGATTATAGCAATCTTACTGAATGCCTATAGTGTAAAAAAAATGATATCAAAAACAACTTTGTAAAAATAAACAACAGAAAATACATCAGCAATTTGTATACTTTCCACTTATTGATTATTTTATAATTCAATATCAAGATGTAACACAAGTGAAAAACTTGCATTATCATGCAGAATATGTATCAAGACCAGAATACTATAAAATAAAATAATCAGAGATATATTTGATGATCAGCAATATAAGAATCTTATAAAAAAAGAACATTTTAAAGAAAAACATGATGTTGCTTTATTAGCATCAATTGATGGTTTTCAAATTTTCAAACAAAAAACAAATAATTATTAGATTTTATTATTCATAAATGCCAACTTACCACTAGAGCAACATGTAAAGAAAGAAAATTTTCATATATCTACAATTATACCTAGTCCTAAAGAACCAAATAATCTAAATTCTTCTTATCTTCTGCTATTGCAGAATTGCACTGATTAGAAGAAGGTGTATAATGCCTCAGTATTAAATATAATGATACATTTGTACTCTATAAATGTATACTTTCTTGTTCTGATAATACACTAGCACTTACCAAATTAATAGACCTAATAGGTCATAATTTGTATAAAGGATGTCTTATTGTAATATAAGAGATATTTATTCTTCACATGTATATTATCATACAAAACCATTTAGAGATTAAGAAGGTGAAACTTATGACTTAGAAAATCTACTACTTAGATATCATAAGAAGTACAAAAGTCAAATACTGGAAATTCAAAATGCACAAACAATATTAGAACAAAATCAAGCAGTTAGACATTATGGAATTTTTTTTAAAAAGAGTATTCTATTTAATCTTATCTCTACTAGTTTTCCAAAGACATTTTTAGTAAATATCATGCATTTATTTTATGAAAATATCACTGCTTACATGCTTGCTCATTGGACAGATTCATTTTTTGCAGACTATAATCAAAACAATGGTGAATATGTTTTAGCTAAAGAAATATAAAATCATAAAAGAAATAGAATTAGTTAAAAAAAACAATACTCTCAAGTCTTGGCTATTTATTATAAAATATCATTTTACATTACAAGAGCTATAAAGCTGAAGAATAGTCAAATTGGATTACAATGTATTTCTTATCATTTCTTAAAAATAGATTGCCAAAAAAATACTATAAGGGTTGAGAATTTTTTGTAAAAGCCATTCAGCTATGTCAAAAGCAAATAATAACTTATAATAATTTAAATAAAATTAAACTATACTTATTATCTTTTATTTATACTATGAAAAAGAATACTATTGTGAATTATTAGAGCACTTAAGTGCAATAAAGATATGCATACATTATATATTGCATGTATCTGAAAGTATTTTACAAACTTGACCTTGTTGCACAATATAGCAGTATTCAATAAAAAGGGTATATGGAATATTACTTTTACTAACAAGATTAAGACTTTATTCTTATAAAAATCTTTCTAATAAAATTCAATTAATTGAAACTTTTAATTCTTTAAAATTTAATTAAATGATTTATAATCAAATTTTCTTACCAATTTTACCTAAAATTTATGATAAACACCTTGCTTATACTAAAGAAAATAGTCAAGACTTTATTTTCTCTCAATCAATTACAAGCTATCACAAAGTGAATTAAAAAAAATTAAACAAGATTTCTCTACTATATCAGATGTATCAGGTTTGCAACTTATATTTTTTAGCCATAAAGGAACAAAATATAGGTAGCTTAGAACAAAAGATGGTCATTATATTGAATCAAAATGGATTTATCAGAATGAAGATTAGTTATGAATTAATTATACTGTTATAGTAAAAATTGAAGTTGATATTTATGCAAACTATCTAAATTGACTATTGATATTTGAAGTTCAAAATTTCTATGCTATTGTTGAGTATTATTTAATATATGACTTTGAAGTCTAAAATAATGTTAGCTTATATTCAATGAACATTACCTGTTAAAAAAGATAATGTTAGTTTAAAATCATTTAGGCAATTGGGTGTATATGCATTTATTGACATATCTGCAATTGATTATTGTGTTGGATTTATTGAAATTAAAAATTTATTTTATATTATAGACAAAGAAGTTGATAATGAACAATAATATTTTTTAAATAATCTTTTTTACTTGTACTATAGTATATAGTAAATATAGCAAGTTAGAAATATTAATTTATTAAAACTATTTTTGTTCATTTATTGTACAATTACAATATAATTTTAGTATATCTTAGTTAATATAGTATCTATTATAGTTACTAATATAATAAAGAAAAAACACTGTATACTTTTTGTGCAAATCTTATATTAAAATAATTAAACAATTTTATTGTTATAAATCATTATATATTTATTCTATATAATTATTAAATAAATATTGAACAAATTTATAAAATTGTATAATTTTTATACAATTGTTAATAAGCTAATATTTTTTGATTTTTATACAACTGTATAAACACTGCACAATAATGCTTCTATTTTGAATAAAAACTGTATATGGGCTAACAAAAATATAACATATTTAGGACAATTTTTTTTTATAGGAGTTGGTAGACTAATTTTAGTACATTTGAACTTTGATGTGATGCTATAATAGTTTTCCTATTGGTGTTAGTATATATTATAAATAGACCAAAGATCTTGATGATACAGTTAAGAAGATTGTTTAAGAAGTAAAGTAGAAAAATATTTGTTTGTTTATTAATAAGTATTTTAGTGTTCTTATATGTAGTAATAGAATAAGTTTTAGTAATAGTATATAAAATATATTTGTATTAAGGATTTAAAAGATGAAATGTAAAATTTAAAAAAATATTTAATAAAGTTTTTAAAGTTGTATTAGTAATTTGAAGTGATAAGAAAGTGTCATATATAGTGTTTTTAATTGATTGTAAAATATTTGTAATATTGTTAGAATATGAGAATAAGTGAAGAGTATCTTCAGTAATTGTGCAGTAGAAACACTTAGGAGTAGTATAGAGATAAGAATAATGAATTTAAGATTTTGTATAGTAGGTAAATTAGTGGTGGGTGTTCAAATCTTATCGATAGTGAAAATTTGGATAATCACCTATATAATATTTGTATTATAGCAACTGTTACTAATTATTAGATTAGGATACCTGTAATGGTGGTCACACCAGCATGACTGGCAGGTCATGAGGCATCTGTGCAATGTTGGAGTTATACAGAGAAATGCAAACTGACAAATTGGACAGTACAAACACTAGATAAGTCCTTGTGGCTATGTAAATCTATTGAAATTGGGTAACAAAAAGTCTATTTGGGAAGAC